AATCTAAGAAAAAAAATATATTATGATTAATTAGTTTTACTAGAATTAATTATAGTGATAGACTTCAATAGTGATTTACACTGTATATTAACGTAAAAATCTGAGAGTTGTGTAATATTAAATCATTATTCAATTATAATGAGTAGAAATTATAATAGCACAATAAAATATTAATGAAAACATATTTTACAATTTGATTCATTAAATAAATAATTTGAATATATTAATATTTAATGAATATATTATGTTAAACATAATATAGCTTAATTTATGATGTAAACATATTTTTTCAGTTTAGATCTTTTATACAAGGATTTAATTATTTATATATGTTTTATATAAATACATAGATAATGTATTGAGATTCTTTTTATGATTTGTTCATACAATTTCTTTGTTTTAAATTATGAATTAGTTTATGTGATTTGTTATCAACTTTCATATTTATTATTGTAAGAGTGTATCATTCTCTTTTATTTGTCATACTTCTATCTTTAGATATAGAAAATAAATATTTTTAAAATTTTATATCACTATATATATATATATATATATATAGTTTTTAGTTTCAAATAACTCATTGATATTGTTGTCTCTCATTAGAATTCTTTTTGATATTCTAGTAGTTATTCTCTATACTTCCAAAGAATGTCGTACTTGATACTATAGATTTAAATTATCTGAGATCTAATCTTTTGTATTCTTTTGCACTCAACCATCACAATCTTCAAATGTTATTAGTAGTTTTCTTAATATCTCTAATATCAGAGTATTACTTTAAAAAGAAAAAAAGTTGTATAATATTTTTTGTTATTTATCTAAATTTGAAAATGAGAAAAATTATTAACTCCATAAAATAAACTAAAAATATATAATTTAAAACAATAAACTCTTGTCAATGAACACATGGTGTAAGATTTTAAAGATTGTAATAAACATATTTATATAAAACTAGATATAATTTTTTAAAAAAATTTAAGATTTTTTTTATTGGCTAGAGATTACCATGGAATATACTACATGTCTAAATATATTTTTGTATTATAAAAAATATATGTATAAAAACTTTCACATATAATATAAGGATATTTATTACAATATTATTGGCTCTATATGACATTTAGTAAATTCAAGATATAATTGGTTTTTGATATTAAAACATATATTATTATTATTATTATTATTATTTTACAAATGTTGCATTCTTGAGAATATTTAATTACTCTTAGAATCTCCCTCTAAACTTATATGGAACTTATGTATTAGAGTGTAAGTAAGAATACAATATGAGAGACACTTCATTTCAGCCAACACATCTTTTGGAGCAAACTGAACATTATCTTGTTTCTAGTTTTGTATCCCAATTTTTGTTAATCAAATTATACCTTCTTTACAATGTACTATTTATATTTATTATTATTACTATCATTATATTAATCTAAAATTACCAAAAGGCCCTTGAATACGTTTACTCACATACTTATATAAATGAATATTAGTGAAAGCTTGTGTCATATATATATATATATATATATATCCTCTAAATTCAATGTACAATAAACTATCATTGTAGATATAATTTCTAATGCATATAAATTCCATCGTCTAGATTTATTAAAAGGTCTTCTTTAAAATTAAAATATTCCTCTAAATTTAATTTATGTAAGGAAAATTTTAATTTTTTATTAGATTTAAATAAAAAACATCACACAATTCAATTATTTATGTTAATTATAATATTTAAATGTTTTTAAAAATATAATTATTAGAATAGACACAATACTACTATTTTCTCGTAAATTTGATTAGATTATATAATTTTTTATTATTGATATAATAACACCAATAAAAATATATGTAATATTCATAATATTATGATACGAACGATATTTCCACCATTATTGAGGCGCATCATCATCGGAGAGGGCGACGGAATCGTCGGCCCTCGTCCGCGTCCACGTCGGCGTCGACGAGGAGGGACGAGATTTGATTTCGCCTCCTCCTCCGACTCTCCCGAGGCGGAGATCCCCATGCGCAGCACAGGCAAGAGGTGTTGGGGCTTGCGGGGAGATGGGTTGTGTTTAATTTAGTTGTTTTTGGTTTTGGGAGATGCGGTTGGCCATTCAGGTGAAGGTCAAGATGTTTGTTGAGGGGTCGGGGACACACAGTTGGTGTCGAAGTTGCTAAACTGGGCGGAGCGCGGAGGAGAAAGACGGCGAAGGAAAGACCGAGGGAAGGCAGCACACTAGCTATAGCAGCACAAGGGGATAATGCAACACGAAAGCGGCAGCCTCTGGCTGTTGTGATGCTCCTCCACCTCTGCACATGATCTCTCGCGCACTCTCTCACTTCATTGCCTCTCCTCAACCCACATTCCCACGTTTCCCCTAACCCGCCGCTGCAAATACAGCTTCTAATTCGTCAGAAGTGAACAGCGCCGCGACTCCACATTCTACGAGCCCTGCTGCTACCCACTCAGGCCGCACGGTCGCCTCTGCAGACGACAGGAGGGCACCAATGCAGAGCCTTGACTCCAGATTCAGTTTGGCAGGAACTCAGTGCTTCGACAGAGAAGTCTTTTTGTCAACTACATAATAAATTCTCAGCATGTTTAGATAGAGGTTGGGGTACAGTTGGAAATAGTAGAATACGGGTTTGTTGTTAACTGTAAAAGGAGAGGCCAACAGCGATGACTCAGATGGCTAAAACGAAAGGAAGCAGGTTACTGGTTTGATAGGATGCGTTATTTAAGGTGGGGTAGGGGCAGGGATGGTGAGAGTGAGAGCGTTACCGCTGGGGCTGGGATGTAGGGGAGCCTGTACATGATGTGAAGCCTGGCCCCCACATCATTCTACCTATAGGAGAAGTAAGATCCTCTTCGAATGAGGGTTTGTCAGGAATACCGTTATCCCTGCCCAGGCCCCGTCCCTCATTGTGCACTGACAGGTAATCAGATTATTAAAATTCTACACTTGGCTCTCGCTAATTTGAAGGAAATTTGGAACTGTTATTTTAAGTCAGCTTTCTTTGACAATTCACATTTAGCGCAGAGCTTGTTTCCATGATGCCTGCTCTGTTGCCAAACCGTTGAAGTGGCAGTCAACAAAATGCTGCCTACTCGTCCTCGTCCTCCTGCACCATCTCCTACAACATCGGGTAGTTGCTTCGGCTGCCACTTCGATGGCCTGGCGAGTTTGCGGATGTCATTGTATTATAAATTTTCCACGTGGAAAAATTCCTCCTGTGATGACTACATGATCCTGAAGGAATACGCTTACATCAGGCGGCACTGGAAGTGGCTGTTGCAACTGCAACTCATGAGCTGCCAATGCGGGGGAAATGGAAAATACTGCAGCTCTGACTGGTTGTGACGTTTTGTTTTCGCTGGCGTAAGCCTCCTCTGCCATTAATTGCCAGAATTATGTTGTCAGCTGGACTGTTGCATTTCCTACTTCAAGTTGATCATGGTACATGGCCAAACTTAGTCGGTAACTGTCATGTATGAGTCACATTGGCAAGTAGTACCCTAAAAATGATCGAAGTACTATTCTTATGCATTGCGAGTTTTTTTTATACTTTAGTGTAAGTTCCTTGAAGTTCACTTACGTTCCAGAGTGACATGTGTCGTGCACTTTTGCACGATTGGAAGCCAGGGATCATTCTGCTGAAGGTTCCCGAACTGTAATTTTACAAAGATATCTTGCAAGGAGCGTAAGGTGTCTTCTGTGGATGAGATTCCGAATCGCTATCCTCGATCCCTGTACGCATCAATCTGGACTATCACATGTATAACTCAGGTGTACAGTAAAGAATATCCTGGCTCGGAGAAATGATAACTTGAGGGGTTGCGGCTGCAACTGAATCTTGCGTACGTAATCGCATTTATTTTTTGCTTGTGAGCACCAGTTTAGATCCTGGGCCAGATTGAAAACTAATCTCGACGTTGCTTGGACGTTAGCAGAATATTCTTCACACTTGAAACTTGGCGAAATTGCCAGGAGACGGAAACGCTCCTCCGCCTCTAATCAGTCATTTCAACTGGCTTGCCCAACTCTCGGAAGCTATTAGCATCTTTGACTCGTGGCCGATGCTGTCATAATTCTTCTCCTGAATCTAATTCACCCATTCGAGATTGTGGGATGTCGTCACTCCTAACTTTGCTCACGGTATCTTTGAATCCAAGGGTATAATTATTCGGGCAACTCCATATCGTTGCGATTAATCTTAGTATAAGCGTCTTGATCATGCGCTACTTCTGTTTGGTGGAAAAGAGGCGAGAGGAATTTGGTGTGCTGAAGAGGAACTAAGGATTATGATTTGCATGGAGACAACTGCAAGACACAGATTGCCCCAAATAACGAAGTGAAGTATCTCTTTCTAGATTATTTTTTGATCTATTCTATCGGGGAGCCAACGGCTTCATCAGGCACGCTAGAAAGGTCCCCTCGAGAAAGTTGCAGGTGTGTGACATGTAGTATGTCTTCCGAGTAAGCCACACGAGGTGATGATTGTGTAGTCCAAGTTGCGGCTTCCACATCCAAACCGAACATCTTTTGAGAGGGAGACATTAGTCGTTGTAAGTGTTTGCTGCAACCATAAACCCATGTGCTACGATGCCAAAAACGAATAATATAACGGTCTTGGGTTATTACAAATGTCCTTTATGAATCTTCATTGACCGAGTGCATTTCAAACGGTCTACGTGACAAGAATATTCATTCCTCATTCTGTGTGGCGAAGAATCTACAGTGGGTGCGCATAGCTGAATTGGAAAGAAGATGCATTGATGGCAGTTGCAGCTATTCATTGTGGGGCTGTCACGGATGTTTGCACTGCTGTTAACATAGTCTGCTTTTCTGGCACTTGAATTTCTGCCTAGTGCTTGATGCTTCCATACATAGGTTCAAGTTGAAATATAAAGTAAAGGATGACGTTAGCGCGTTCTTCTCAGTACTGGGGGCTTGGAAGCACAAAACCAATCCTCTAAGGATACGAAGGTGTTGGTCAATATGATGAATTTATTAACAGATTTACAAATTAAAAATAATCAGTCGTAAATATTCTCACTTCTAATTAACAGTTCCAGAAGACCCCCAAAAAATCAAAACATAAAAACAGGCATAAAAACACACTGCCTTGAAAAGTCCTACTTCGATGGGGCCGAAGTAGAATATTTGTCGTTGTCCCTCAGGGGGAGGAGAGGGACAAATTATGATACTTGGTCGATTCTCATCTCGTCCTTGTTGCACAAGGACGCACACTAACTCCAGAAACTACTACTTGAATACACTCAACTGATATCCCACAAGTTACAACTACGCCTATCTTCAGCAGCAGGCTGCACTGAATGGAAATCTTCCTTCCTCAACCCAACCGCGTCATAGATTTCCCCCAAACAAATATATAATATATATATAATATAACACATACATCATATTATATATATTATATCATATATATATCATATATATATATATATATATATATATATCATATATATATCATATATATATATATATATATATATATATATATATAGAGAGAGAGAGAGAGAGAGAGAGAGAGAGTTTACTTCTGAACTTCTAGTTCAGAAATGCAGAGAAATTAATGATCACTTGCAATGAAGTTCCAAGTGAGAACCACTTTCAACTTCCCTTTCAGTGTAAAACTGGGTATCAATCTGTGATTACTTAAAGATATGACGTAAGCCACTTTTGATCACGTTGGAGATGGAGTGGCGGTGGGGTGAAGACGTCGAGTTATCTCCATGATTCCTCCGCCCGAACATACCGTGTAAATCCATGTCAGACTCGTTGTGGCAGTGTCCAGGGGTACTAGAAATAAACTTAAGCCTTGCTGACTGATTTGCCATCAGGTTGCAGATGCCTGACCCGCACCCAGGATCACAGCCATATCCATCATTCCAATCGCACATCGCTGGGGGGAGAAGCTGCCATTGAAGAGCTCCTGCTGCAGCCCCCTGGTTCTGGGCACTCTGATACACTTGGTCGTAGACTATGCTGTAGAATGCATCGCGCTTCTCCTCGCAGAAGCCGGATTTCTTGTCTGAGAGGCCAAACTCGGTAAAGAGCACTGGCATACGAAGGACCCTCTCTGCATCCTCAATGTGGGCTCTCACCCAGCGGTTGAAAAATTCGAGCTTTTCGTCCACATTGTCAGTGCCTAGCCTGTACATGGGCCGTTCTTTATATCAACGACGAACCTATATCTAGAGTAAATCGTATCTTGGAAGAGCCATGATAGTTGTAAGAACAATATACAACCAGTTTGTACAAAAAAATTGATGGGATTTTCTTAGTCTCATGAAAATTAAGCTCACCAAGAATCTGGGTAGGCATGAACCGTGGCGAAATCAATGCCAGTTACCCGATGGTCTCGAATGAAGTCGGTGCCTATCGTACCAGCGTAGCTATTTGGATTGGCGCTAGACCATCCTTCGCTGTTGGATGCGTAGAATCCCTCCGAGCCAACTGTCAGGAGGTGGTTATTGTCCAGACTCTTTACATACGCAGCCATTTCTTCAATCCATGCCTGCCGCAATAAGACAGAGATCCAGCGCCAAAAACGTCAATAATTCAGGACGAGAGAGTAAGAAGTAATGCTCACAACCGACTTCAGGAAATGTCGGCGTTCCATAGAAAAACCAATAAACCATTCACCGTTGAACACTACAGTAAGGCATGAATAAATGGCGAGAGATTTATATATTGAAACTGTTGTGAGAACATCAGATGTGGTAGACAAAATAAGATGAGAATGGAACCTTGAGAGCATGTCCTGAGGAATCGGATGGGCATTGAGGTTCATTCATAAGCTCCCAACCAAAGATGGTCGGATCGTTGCGATATTCCACTTGGTTAATGGTGTTCACTCTTGTTAGCACAGCCTGCAATAAATTGGCGTATGGCTCGAAATTAGATTCATACTAAACTGAACAAGGTGAATCTTCATTTGAAACTCCCTCCAATCCTTCATGCCATTCACGAATGTGAAAAAATAAAAAACAAAACCGTGAAATTTGTGCTTGAAATATTAACAGAAGGGTAGTACCTTGACATGGTCTCTGTAAAACTGGCGGCACTTGGAATTTCTAAAGAAAGCATCATCCGAGGTAGTGTTCTCTCCTGCCGCCCTAGCCCATTCCACATACTTGGGTTTACCACCATAGTCCTTCCAATTGTTCACGAAGCTCAGAAGCAACCTCACCCCATTACATCTGGCTTGATGTATCACATAATCCAACGCCTGCCATATCCAGCACAGTTCACATCACTAGATTAGATATGAGAAATCTTCCAGCTTAGCCTTCAATAAATGGTGTCATGTAAGTGGTCTCTGCATGCAATTTGAACCCTGTAGCACTCGGAAAATGTGCGAGAGAATTACACAGTCGTCAAAACGACTGAGGCTAATGCCGGAACAGTAGAAGGTGATGAAAATGTTCCCCCTGGATGATATCTAAACATGATCAGGCAATGACGCTGCTCAAGCGCCTGAGCCAGAAACATGAGCTAATTCTCTCCTCTGACATCTACCCCGGAGAAGTGTAGAGCCCCCTCGTAAATGTAGCCAGGGCCAGACTAACAGAGAACAACCCGATCACAATGAAAGCAATGCAGCACCAGTGTAACCCGAATTCGCAGCTTGCCCAACCAAGTGTCTGCAACAAAAAGGTTCAATTCAGCGAAAATACATACACAACTCCGGGGAGGCAGTCTCGCACACTCACCTGAAACACTTTCTCGTCGTATCTCCCGGGAGACATCTGCAGCGCTTGGTAGGTGTCATCGTTGAATGCCCAAGTGCGGCACACCGTGAGCCCCAGCGACGCTCCGTCGCGCAAAATTGTGTCCACACTCGACCGCGTGCTGCCCTCTGAAGCAGTAACCATCAGCCAATACGAGTTCCACCCATTCGCGTAGAATGGGTGCCCGTCCAGCACCAACTGACTGCCGACACGCGTCACAAAATTCCATGCAGCGATCCCCGACCCCGCCATTGCCCCAAGATCCCCGCAATCCGAGCACCCACTTGCACACCAATTACCTCCTGTCGGTCATCGATATTGTCCTGCGGCTAAGGTTAAGCTAAAAGTGAGCAGCGATCTCGAAAGCGGCTGGCATAAGGCTGTGGACGGTAGTCTTAGTTGCAGAGCGAAATTTTCGAACTTCGCGCACAAGGAGCGCTTCGCATTCAAGCAAAGGCCGAGATCGAATGCGGGAGAAGTCTTTTACATGGAGCTAGAAACTCCTCAACATGGGCAAGTTTGTAACGTCGCACACAGGATGAGATGCTTGGCGACAAAACAAAACAAAACAAAAACAAAATTGAAAAAAAAAAAAAAAAAAAAAAAAAAAAGCTCGGGGTGAGGATCTAAAAAGAAATGTAAAAACGAAAGTGAGCTCGGGAAGCTCTTGACCAAGATTGGAGCTACAAGTGCAACGTTGCTACGGGTGCTGCGCGAACCATGCCTATCATGCGCACGGGGATGATTCCCTCTTGCAAGCTTTGAATGTCGCTCCAGCCTCCAGCTCCCTTGTCGATCGCCCCGTTGTCGCCAAGCTAATATCTTATGCACATCTTAATCTTCTCCCTTCTTGCGATCACTCTGACATAGATTGATACCTAGCGCCCTTATCACGCCACACGCGAGGAGACCTGCTCTTTAACCACCACCCTCCTTTCGATATTCCTTCACTTCCACCTCTCTCTCTCTTTCTCTCTTTCTTCTCACCGGCGAGGGGGATTCAGCAGTGGCATTACACTTCCTCTGAACCCAGCGACAAAATTCACCTTTTCAGCACGAAATCTGCTGTTTAGATGAACCGATAAGCCCGATTACATTCTGCGATCCTCCTCAGCGGAAAGTAAAATCCTGACAAAAGGCGCCTTTCTAACTTTCGGCTGTGAAACACCATTGTCATCGGTGTCCCCCCCCCCCCCTTCCCCCCCTCTTCATACGATCGCATTATTACGCGCTTTATTTAGTGCAAATATAAAATTACAATAAAAAAGGCAGCGACGTCATTACTGGTGTCGATTTAGGGTTTTGCCTCACAATCTAGGGCTCCGTGTTCCTATTCATGGCGTAAATTTGGCTTCCTGCGGAGCATTGCTCGCTGAGATTTGATTCTCACATCGCCAGCGCGGGACCCACCCCCTTAAACCTGTACTCCTGGGACCCGGCCTAGCCCGCGTTTGGTACGGGGCAGGCTCACAATCATAAACCTCGACGAGGGCGGTGGTGTCGTGTTCCTTATGCGCCACGTGGTCTCTTTCCATTGGTTATTTTTCGAGTGTTATATAACCGACCTGGATTGACTTCCTCCTCCTTCTCTTCCGCCTCCTCCTCGCAGTGTGAATCCGATGCTGGATATTTGTTCAACCGACGGCTGATGTAACACTTGGGAAGACTTTTTACTTTTTCTCATTAACTTTCCCCTGCTTTTTCTTAAATAAAATTAAAGTTGGGGAACTCGACCGTCTAATATTGATGTACTCTACAATCCTTCCAGAAAATACCTTTTCGTGAAAATTGGGCATTATTAGCAAAAGTGATGAATTTTTGGTTAAGAAGAAGAAGAAAAAAAAACAAGTGTTCCATATATTAAAATTAGAAAATTTGTAACAAAATAAAATTTCTTAATTTTCTTATTGAAAGTATAATAATGAAAAAATCTGAACATATTAAAATGGATATTCTGTTTTTCATTTTATTAGGTCTAATATCATCAAAATTGTCATTAAAATAAAATTAAGTATTATATTTAAAAAAAAATTAAAATAGAAAATTAAATTAATATGTGAATATTTATTAAAGTGATTTTTATTTATTCTTAATATGATAGTTTTTCTTTAGTATGTGATTACTTTCATAAACAATACTTAAATAAATAATGCTACTTTTTACTAGTATAAAATATCAAATTTAATTATAAGAGATAGTACTTTATTAATTAATATCTAACAATGGTTTTTTTCTTCTTTGGATATCTATTAATTTTTTTGTTCTTATATCAATTCTATCTATTCATAACATAATTTTTATTATTTTTATTTTATATTAATTTATGATTTTAAAAATATTTTATATTAATATTTTTTTAAAGATATAAAGATATAAGACAAAGAAATAAAAAGAATAAAGTTTCTAAACTACATATTATGTTAGAGTAGAAATAAGACTAAATAAAAAACTACAACTAAGATAATAAATAGGTTTTATCTAAAACTTACATCAATAAAATATAACAATCTTTTCTCTTGTTCATTCAATTATATTGTAAAAATTAAGTCTTATTAAAGATTCTAGAAGAAGTTCTTGTATTTATGAAATATCTAATAAGTCAAAAGAATATTTTATAGAAACTTGTAGAGTACTATAGAAGCTTTTAAAAGATTGAAGGAGATTCTAAAATCAAGTAAAAGATGCTAAAAAATTAAAATATTTTGATACTTACTAAAAAATTATTAAATTATTATTAAATTATTAGATTTAATAATAAAATTAAAAATTATTTATAGTAAAGATACATGCACTATACACATAAATAGAAATAAATTATAACTAATAGAAGTAAGTAGAGACATGTTAAGTAGATACTATCATCTTAAAAATTAATCAAGGACTTTTTAAAAATACATATTAGTTCTATATGTATTGTTAGATATATCATATGATTGTATATACTTCTCTTGGAAGTTTGTAATTTTAAAAAGCTATTATGGAAGTATGCAGTCCTTAAAAGTGTTGTACAACATTTTTTACTTGTTTTATGGTGGGTTATGAAAGTTTTAAAGAATTAGAAGTTTTCCGCATGTGAATGTGCAAGAGTTAGTTTAGTTGAAATTGCTTAAGGGAAAAGAGAGAGCTAAAATTGAAGCTTGGCCAACAAGTCTAAGACATTACCAAATTCAGCCAAAATTATGGTATTAATAGGAAGGTATTAAAGTTTTGGTGGATATTCCTATACATGAATTTGGAAGGAAATTTGGATAAATTCTATAGCTCAAGCTTAGTTGCTAGTGAGAACTCGGTTCAAGAGCTAGGAGATGGAATTTTTAGTGATTTTATTTAGAAGATTCAATGGATTGTTGTAAGATTTGTTATCATATTTTTGCTTGAGAATACATTGAGCAATTGGTTGTCAAAAGTAAAAATGCAACAACAATCCTACCAAGTCTAATAGAGTCTTAAATATATTTTAAATAATCTTTAATAATCCTAATTAAACTTTAATCAATTATGAGTAAATTTAAAAGAAATTACAAAAGAAACACAAAAAGTCATAAATTAATTTTTTTTAAAAATAACAAAGAAATCCTAAAGAAATATAAAAATAAACCTTAGAGAAATAATAATAACCTTAAAAAAATATTAAAAATAAGAATCTTGAATAAATCCTAAATAAATCCTAATTCAATTCTAATTTTATCTTAATTAAAATTCTAATGAATCTTATCTAAATCTTAGATCAAATTCTAATTAAATCTAAAGGTGCAAACTAAGAGAGAATACTTCCTAATTGAAGTGCCTTTATGAATCTGACTAGAAGAAATCCATCGAGTTATTGGAAAGGATGAAATCTTAGATAGAGCTTGACTTGTTGCAAAAATCCTTGAAATTTTGATCTTCTCTCATGAAACTTTTGAGGCATACTAATCCTTGTCCTCGTTATACTTCTAAAAGCAAAACTCCTCAAATTGGCCATGAGGTCAATCTACTTGCTTCCTTCGATTGCACAACTTCTTGTCACAAACTTTGAACTTTTTCATTAGCGTAGGCATAGTACCTCCATGATTCATATTAGAAATACATGATATTTCTATTCTTAGAGTATTGATAAGTTCATGAAGATCTACAATAGTTTAAAATCTATTCTCACTTCTATTAAAAGTAGCATCCATAATTTTTTCTTCCATAGACAATTCAAACAAATTCAAAAAGTTAAACTAAAGGAGGGTAATCTACAACTTCTAATAAAAATTTCTACATAGAGGCATAATCCACTCTCTTTAAGGAAAAAATCAATGTTAGAAAATGAGATTTTTTGTTTGAAGGTGGATAGTGTCAAGGACAAGAACTCGATAAAAAAGACAATTCAGACAAGTGAGCCTTCACTCAAAGAGAGGTAAAAAAAATATATATAAATAAGTATATATATTGAAAGAGGAACTGGAATGGCTATTGCCAAAAGACAAGAAAACTAAAGACCCTTGAAACTAGACTAGAAGCAAGAAAGGAGTTGACAAGAGTGAAGAAGCCTTCACTCTTGTCTCTATATATACTATTTAACTAAGAGCTACGTGGCGACGTTCTATAGGACCTCCAATAGGTGTTGACTTTGTAAGGCACATGCCTTGACTTACAAGGCAAGTTTTTCTACGTGTGGGCCACATAGTTAGCTTGATCTTCAAGCTAACAACATGTGTGGCACATGGCCAACTTGTTGACCACGTTTCTAATCCAAAAAGTCAATTAAAGACACCTATGAAGTCAAAACAGCGTCTAAGAAGTTTCTAGGAAGCTTCCATATTAAATATTATAGAATTAACTTATTTTTACCTACTTTTACTTACTTCTACCTATTTCTATATGTAATTATTAGCTTACATGATTATGGCCGTGACATTATCCCCCCTTCTAGAGACGAGTTCCACGAGGAGCGGTCATCATATGTTGACGAAATCTATGATGCGACAAATTGTATTCGCCACATACTCTGATCTCTGTTCTCTTCGAAGATGATTGATAGGGCCTCTCAACCATCGGTAGTGTCCCATACCAGGGCGGGAGGACCACCCAGTTATTTGATCATTGTTGAGGCCTTAGTAACTTCCTTCAAATAAAATATTTGGAACACCATCAGGAATTGTTCCTACCTCTAGCAAAATCACCAAACATCGGGAGTCCCTTCCCAAATCGTGATACCAAACGCGTTGTATCTCACCATCTATTCGAGGAAGAACATGTCGTTCTTGAAGATCTTCATCTCGATTGCGTCGTCTTGAAGGTTGTGATAATCGTAATATCTCGTCCGGCAGGTCAGTAAATGAAGGCTCTTGAGTTAAACCCGCTGGTTGTTGGTTCTCCATCTCTTGAGCGCCACTACTACAATGAAGCTACGAACAAGAATTGAAAGTAGAATGTTAACTTGCCTAGATGTTGTTTCTTTTATAAAGAAGGTTTTCATCTTGATTTTGATGGATGTCGTTGATGAAAAGCCTCCACCGTCTTTGCTACATTTGTAAGATTCTTTAATGGCTCCCATGTGCGTTCACTAATACCATATCCGCGCCAATGGACAAGATATTCTAATTTATTTCGGCGTCGCCTTGAATCTAAGATTTCTTCTACTTCAAACTCTTCATTATTGTCCACTTCTATAGGATGAGGTGGAGCTTGTCGTCTTCTTGGTATGTCCACTGTCTTGTATGGTTCAAGAAGAGATACGTGGAATACTGGATGGATTTTCATTGACTGTGGTAGATCTAAACGATATGCAATTGGATTGATTTGTGTAGAAATAGAAAATGGTCCCAGCCTTTGATAGTCCAACTTGTCACAAGGACGAGTGGTCTTGATATTGCGACGAAGTAGTCATACCTTATCACCCAAGACGAATGATGGTTGTTCCTTTCGATAGACATCTGCATTGGCCTTTTGTTGTTGTTGAGCCTCTTTTAACTGCGCCTTCATCGTTGCATGTAGCTCTGATAAATGAATAACCAAATCTTTCGCAGCAGGATTATCACCTTTTGAAAAGTCAAAAGTATCAAGTCGTGAATGATAACCATAATTAGCAAAGAAAGGTGTTTGTTTTGTAGAAGAGTGTACCGTGTTATTGTAAGCAAACTCTGCCAATGGCAAAAGAGTTGTCCAATCATCTTATTGATAATTAATGATACATCTTAAATAT